GAAAGCCTCATTCTCAACTCTTTGCCTGGTTTTCTCTAAAACAAATCTCTCATATGGTAAATGGAACACACCTGTGACTGTTTCAGTTCGTCAAAGAAGGTATCACCAAAGGCTCAGTTTTTATTTTGTTTTGTTTTTGAGGCAGATCTCATCTATCCCAGAATGGCCTAAATCTTGCTTTGTAGCAGAAGATAACCTGGAACTTCCGACTCCTCCTGTCTCTGCCTCTCCAGTATTGCAATTACAGGCACGTGCCACCATGCTTTGTTTATCAAGCGGTGAGGCTCGAACCTAGAGTTCCAGGCATGCAAGACAAACACTTTTCCAAGTGGGCTCCAGCCCAGCCCAAAGCTCAGAATCTGTGAATATATACCACTCCATAAGATGGGTCCCACATTTTTATTCCCATTACTCAGGAGGCAGAGGCAAGTAGATGTCTGTGAGTTTAAGGCCAGTTTCATCTGCAAAGTGAGCTCCGGGTCAGCAAGTGCTACCTTGGTGAGTTTTCATGAGGGAGGGAGGGAAGGAGGGAGGGAAGGAGGGAAAGACAAAAGCAGAAAGAGGAAGGAAGGGAGGGAGGGAGGGAGGGAGGGAGGGAGGGAGGGAGGGAAGAGAAAGACAGAAAAAAAGGGGGTGGTGGATTAAACTTTAGCAAGCCCAAGGCAGGAAAGCCCTATCTGGTGAAAATTGAACCTCATTAATATATTTTTAAAGGCAGAACATGCAACAACAAACACAATTCTAAAACGAGGCCTAGGCTGCAGAGATGACTCAGAGAATAAAACTGCTTGCCATGCAAGCTTGACATCCTGAGTTCAATTCCCAGGACCTAGAGTAGATGCATAGGATAACCAACATCTGGAAGTTGTCCTTTGACCTCTGTATATGCATGATAGTATACATACACAGAATAAAATTTAAAAACAAGAGAGGGTTAGGTATTACTGACCAAAATTTAAAAAAATAAAATACTGGCTGGAAGCTACAGGTCAATTATCATGAATTATAATTTGCTATAAATACCTGATTTGCTTCATGTGTGCAGGCATTGAAGATTAAACGGCAAATGTTACACCTGGCTAAGTTCAGTGCCTAATCATATGTTAACAGACACATGCAGAACCCACAGGAATTTAGCAGTTAAACAAGGCATGGAAAAAAGGAGATCTTTTCATTAAGTTCTTAAGACAAACACAACATAACTGGATTCAAGAAAAAGAAAGTAAGTTAAGATGTACTGAAAGAACCAAAGAAAGAAGGAAGGAAAGAAAAAGTACCAATGTGTTAAAGTTACTCAAAGATCCCTATTTGCAGACACTATCAGCCAGACTGCATTTGTTTTGTTTCAATTTGACAGTCTCATTATCTAGGCCATACTGGCCTTGAACTTGTCATCCCCCCCCCCTTCCTAAACCTCCGGGTGCTGAGACTGCAGGCATTCGCCCCCACATCTAGCCTATCTGGCATTTTAACTCTTCTGCCGAGACACTGTCGGATTTTTTTTTTTTTTTCAGACTTAAACCCGACTAATCCCAGATTCCCACTGTGGCAGCAGAGATTTAAAGCCACCTGCGCCACTAAGTTGCTGGGAGATTTTTGGTAAACAGCCCAATGGCTCAGGAAGTTCATTCCCCGTGATGCATACCTGCCAAAATTCGTGGGCAAAGGGGGATTGAGTAGCCATGCTTGAAGAAATTCTCATTGGTGCAGCTGGCAGAAAGACCTGCTATTTAGCACGGGGTTTAATAAAGCTCTGCTAACCTGGACATCGCATCTGCAGCTGGAACTGAGGTGTGGGCCAGTGCTCATGTAATCCTACAAGCCACTATCAGACTACTATCCTTCAACCTCAGAGAAATCACGAGACTAAAAAGAAACTCAACAGCAGGAATGTTAATCAGGGACAGAATTCAGCCACAAGTTCTGCCCTTCCTTATGTTACTACAATTGGCAGCCACCCAAAAGCAGCATGGCTGTGACAAGGGTCTGTGTAACAAGGCGTTGCAAATGATATTTTGCAGACTGAAAAATGAGAGCTGGAGAATGGAACCAATTTTCCCTCCAACTCTTCTACTTCCTGGCCTAAAGTAACACGGCCCTTGTTACACTCGACTGGGAAAGAACTTTCTAGAAAGCCAAAAAAAAAAAAAAAACAGTCGTTAAGAGAGGCTATCAAACATAAGTGTGTCCACCTTGAAACCCCCTTTCCCTTCAGCTAACGGCTCCCTGGCCTTGTCTGCTTCTAATCTCCAAGGTCTGTTGCTCCATTATAGCCTAATTCATCTAATTCACTTGCAAAAGCATTTCCTGGTTCATAACATCTCCTTTTTTCAATAGACACAATCACAGAAAGCATTTTAACATCTTTTTCTCCAGGCCTAGGCTGATCTATCACAGCCTCGAATTAGGTAATGCATGAGTGGTAAAGTGCTAGATAAACGTAAGTGATTAGTAGTCCTCCAAAGTATCGTTAGTGATGTGTGCACCCGAGTCATAACACTGCTCGCTACCATCTGTTGGTCATTATTTTTTTTTTTACCGACTCTCGTCAACTTTCAAAAATCCATACAGTCCTACTTCTAAGGAAAAGCCACACAGAAGGCACTAGAAAGTCGAATGCATCAAAGCCTAGGACCTTAGTAGGTTACAAAGCAGTGATTGGGGACAGAAGACAAAGGCTTAAAATCCCCAGGACAGGGCAAGAATGTGTAAGCGTGTCTTATCTCTGCCTCCACCCTGTAGCTTCAGGGCATAGGATAAGAGAAAACCTACACAGAAGGATCTGCCTGTAGTCCCCCAAACTTCTATCTGTCCTGACATCAAGTGCTTGAGACTCCAAAGGTTGCCTCAACAATTTTATTTTACTGGGAGCTATATAGAGCAAAAGTGAAGGGTGGACTGGCTGGCTACCTGACGTCCAGAGATCAGTTTGCCTTTTTTGCACAATGAGGTCAAAAGCCTTTCAAAGTAGCTCTCTGTCATATTACCATGGGTTATGGGGCAAAAGAACCACAGACCAGACTGTCAAGGGCTAGGAGTAGTACAAGTCTGTCTCATCTTTACAGGTAGAGAAACTGAGGCCCAGAAAGGGGACTTCCCCCAAAGCCATAAAACTAATTAATTCCAGAAGTAGGTCTCCAGAGTCATAAAAGCCTCTAAAATCTCTTCCTTTAAAAAAATCACAATTGCTGCCTAGTTTGACGTCATCACACCAATAGCAGACCCAGTGAGGATGAATTTAGCCCTTTGTTGACCTTCAAGATTTGTGGTGGCCAGAGGCCTCAAGACCCCTTTGGAGAGGCACCCTCTGACCCTTACCACCTGCCGTCCTTTTTAAAAAAGCACTCCTGTCTTAAGAGGCACACACGACAGCAGCTGGGATGCATTGATTCCTCTCATTAACAAAAAGGCCATTCATTTAAAAAGAAACACGAAAGAGGACTGGTCAAATTGCACAGAAGGCCTAGCTATGACAACCGTGTACTAGCTGCGAATGGCACCTCTTCCTAAGATGCCCTCTCAAAAAAGAAGAAAGGAAGGAAGGAAGGAAGGAAGGAAGGAAGGAAGGAAGGAAGGAAGGAAAAAATAAAACCATTGCCCACTCCATCTCTTTTCCATGCTTTTAGTGACCCAATTGATACCATCCCCTTTATTCCAGGGCTATCTACACCCTCTTGCCATCTGCAAGATGCCAAGGGGCAAGCCAATGTCATTCTCCACATTTTATAGATCAAGAAACTGAGGCCAAGGATGTGTATCCAAATGGATTTCTAGGAAAAGTGAGCTAGTAAATATATGAGCCACAAGTATACAGCAAAGTCCTACAGGATGGACTCACCACCCTCTGCCACTCCCAGTTTAGGACTGAAGGCTCGCAACTAACTCCAAGGAGAGCTGGCTTTCCAACCCTGCTGTTAATCCCTCTTTTGCCTAGAAACAAGTGACCTCTCACCTTGAACCCCCGCAGGGATTCTCAAACCTCTCCGCCCTCCTGAGAACAACCTTCAATAAATGTAAAAGCAATAAGGACGCTAATGGTGGGCTTCAAAATACCCCCAGTAACACTCACCAAGTTAGCCACAGCCCAGAATCTAAAAAGACCTAATTGCTTTCCTTGTCGTCCCTCGTCCCTCCGTGACTTTAGAGCTTCAGGCTGAGTAAAGAAATTCTCAGTCTTTGGTTCTCACACAGACTATGTACCTAGCTGGCAATTTCCCCTTTCAAGCCCATGTTTGCCTTAGCATAACTAATGGGTAGAAGTCAGGAAAGCAAAAGAAATCAGCCCTCTGAGGACCCTCGGAGCATGACCAGAGGGCAGAGAATCGGGTTTGAAAAATGTAAATACCCTCTCACCTCAGATAGAGATTCCCCAACCTGAAATCCACAAATCAGTACGGGGCCGAGTTCAGAGAGCTCTTAGCAGCTCAGGGCTGCTCAAGCTTCTCACAACCCAAAAGTAGACCTCTCCCTAAGAGCATAAACTCCCAAAGGAGTCAAGAGAAATCCCTAAAAGTATTTCCCCAATGGACCACAGTGGAGACAAGGAAGCCTGTGTGACCACCTCCAGGAAAGCATGTGACCAGGCCCCCGGGGTGTGTGGCGGGGGGGGGGGGGGGGGGGGGGGGGGGGGGGGGGGGGGGGGGGGGGAAGCTCCTACCGAAGGCAAGAGGGCTGGGCCTCCACGGGGACACAGATGTGATTCTGAAGGGGCACCTAGCTGGGGCTGGACTTCCTGCTGGTGAAAAGACCAGGCTCCAGCAGGGCTGGGAGGGGAGGGGCACGGGGCTCAGAGTGCAAGTCATTTCTAAGGCTCTTCACCTCCACTGTAGGGCTGATCCATTGTGCAATGCTGAAGTTAGCACAAAGGCAGCAGCTGGTTGGAAAATCATCTTTAAGGGTCCCACTTCCCACGGGGACGAAGTGCTCTACACTAGTTTCCTGAGCACACAAATGACTCTTATCATCACTTAGGCTGCCCAGGAAAAAGTCAACAGACTCACATGCATCATGGTGACCAGGTGACAAGGGTTGAGCAGGTAGATGACGGTCTTGGTGGCGAACTTAAAGCCCACCTCCACCCCGAAGATCAGGCACAGGGCTACTAAGAGCAGATTCTTGCTCAGGCTCTCCTTGCCTTCATCAGGCCGCTGGGTCACCTGCTGTGGCTGGCTGCCACGGCCACCCCTACCGTCCTCCGTCTGCCTCAGGATGTGCCGAAGGGCCACCAGGATCTCCAACAGGGCCAGGGTCAGGACCACCACACTTTCCAGCAGCCGCTGCTGCCAAGACAGGAAGGCAGCACAGTCGGGGCCCCCATTGCCTGCAAAACTGGGGTCGACACCCCCATAGAGCCAGTCCAGGAGACTTTGGTAGCTATACCGGGACATGATGCAAAGTGGCTCCACTTGACTACGGTACAGGAAGCAAGAGCGAGATGGAACACGAGACCGAAGGGTTGCCCGGGCAGTGGAACATGTAAGGAGGGCACACCCGCACCCCCCTCTGGACACTGGGGCACCTAGAACAGGGGAGGGAAAGCTACACGCGAGGCCCGGGGTAAAGTGCTGGCTCTAACTTGTCCCCACGGCTGTCTGGGGAGCCCCCCGCGCTTCTCCAGTGGCCACCAACGAGGCAGGGTTGAAAGGAACCGTTGGCCAATCTAAAAGGAAGGAGAGGAAAAAAAGGTCTCAAAGAGGCAATTGCACGGGAATTAACGAAGCGGGGAGGGGTAACTAGCGAGGGAAGAAAAGGGGAACGGGAGTGGTGGCCAAGCAAGCAGGGGTCGAGGGAAGTTGGAGACCAAGAGGGTCAGGGCGGGGACCTAGGGGACCCGGCACTGCCAAGGGAGCCAAGCGGGAGGCAGAGGAGAGTGAGAGAGAGGGGACACCGGAGGCTAGGAGAGGAGCTAGCAGGGCCGGGCAGGCGGGGAGGGCGACGGGGAAGGCAGGGACGCCGGACTCCTCGTCTCACGCACTCCACGAGAGGGGGGGGATGTCTTACTCCTGCAACCGCGTGGCCGTCTCTGCCCCCAGCTAGCAACTTCGCCGCCGACGGGGCCCCCTCTCCAGCCAATTTAGAGCGGTCCCGGTCCAGCCTCCCGCCCCCGGGTACACTCCCAAACCCCCAGCTCCNCCCCCCCCCCCCGGCCCCTCACGCCCGCCCTCCCGACCAGCACCACCCTCTCTGCCTGCAGCCCGCCCGGGACCAGCCCCCTAGGCGCGGGCGGGCGGCGGGAGGAAGCTGAGAGGGAGGGCGGGGAAGCGGGGCCAGCCAGGGGCCGAGCCGCGGGGCCGCCACCCTCCGCCCCGCCGCCGCCACCGCCGCATCTTCCCGCTCCTCTTCGCCCGGCCCCCGGGGGACGGGCCGCCGCGTCCCCTTGGGGCTCCACTCACCCGCTGCTCGGCCCCGCTGCTCGGGCTCGACCGGTGTCTCCGTCTCCCCGCACTCCCCGCAGCCCCAGGCGGCACTCGGCTGGGCTCCCCAGGCGGCCGCAGCAGCCGCTGCCACCGCCGCGGCTCACGGCTCCTCCTCCCAGCCTTCCTCCCCCAGCAGCCGCCGCTCGCTTCCTCCGGTTTCCCCTCCCTCTCTCCTCCCCCTCGTCGTCAACTCCCTCCACCTTAGGCCCTCCTCCCGGCCACTTCACCACCATCCTCCGCCCCCCCCCTCCCTCGCACAGACACACGTCCTCAAGCCACCACTGCCCCGCCTTGCCGCCTTCCCTCCACAACCTACCCCCACGTAGCCCTCGACTCCCACCTCCCGCCCCGCTTCCTCTCGTCAACCCCCCTCCACACCGCTGCCCTCCCGAGGCCCCATCCCCGCCTCTTTCCTCCTTTTCCTTGCTGGTCTTCTGCACTCCATGGGAGCATGCCTGCAAAGCTTAGCTCCTTCGCCACTGTGACTGAATTCACCTCCCCGCCTAAGCCTGGTGCACGAACTCCTCAAGTGACCAGTTTTCAGGCCACTACTTTGTATACCTGGACACATACTAGACACCCTGCTGGCCCTCGCTAACTTCTAGGAGTAAGGCTTTGACTTTTGAAGTGTGCTCCTGCCTCGCTTCCTCTCTTCTGCCTTGAAATGGGAGATTGATAAAAGACCATAAAAGTATCATCTCTTACCCTTCCAGTCAAAGCCTCACTTCCTACTTCAGTGCCTAAGTTGGGGTCTTCTCCGGGGATTTCCTCTAACCCGGTTCTGATGTTTTTCCTCTCTCCTCGTGCTTCACAAATCACTCTGGCTCTCTCTTGCTCTCTCCCTCCCCCTCTCTGTCTGTCTCTTTCTCTCCCTCTTTCTCCCTTCCCTCTGTCTCTCTAGTGTGTCTGTCTCTTTCGCCCTCCCTCTCCCTCTCTCTCTCCCTCTTTCTCTCTCCCTTCCCTCGGTCTCTCAAGTATGTCTGTCTCTTTCGCCCTCCCTCTCCCTCTCTCTCTCCCTCTTTCTCCCTTCCCTCGGTCTCTCTAGTGTATCTGTCTCTTTCACGCTCTCTCTCTCTCTCTCTCTCTCTCTCTCGCTCTCGCTCTCGCTCTCGCTCTCGCTCTCTCTTGCTCTCTCCTTCCCTCAGTGTGTGTGTGTCTGCCTGTGCGCAGTGTGTCTTCCACAGCAGAGGAAAAGAAGCTTCCCTGACCTCTCTCCCTCCTCCCTCCTCCCTCCCCAAAAGAGAGCAGCTGCTTCCTAACCCCGCCTTGGAAAGAAGGCCTGGACAGAGTGAGTGCTAGCTAGAGTCCAGGGGCCCCCTCTTCCCTGGCACTTTCTACCTAGTGACTGTGTTGGCTCTTCTTAGGATCAGGAATTAAAGAAAGGACTACTCAGAATGTACCTCATATTGGTTTAATATTTACTGAAGACTCGCATAAGTTAGAAAAATATCCAGAAAACAAACCACAGTTAGGCACCCTGCCTAGGAAACACTTTCAGATGTTGGCTGCATGCCAGTCTTCCAATGTAAAATCCAGTCGACTGTATTATCAGGCCACCACCCTCCCATCCTTTCCAACTTCACAAATACAGCCAGGCAAGTTTGTCTGACTCCAAGCTTTGTGAAGCATCCACCGCAGGCATGATATTTTCCAAGTGCTAATTAATAAAGAATGGCAACAAACAAGAATTAGTTCAGAGGCTCACTGGCTCTCCTTAGGTGTTTTGCTAAAGCTAGGCAATATGACCAAAGAACAAAGGGAGGGAGCTCTTGGCAGTGGAATGTAGCATCTGGCGGCCTCAAGTTTCTAGCTTCAAAGAAGTAAGGACGAGGGTATAGCTCTCAGTATTGGCTTCATTAATCCCTCTCATTTCCATGCTGACCTTCATAGGGAATTTGGCCTAGCCACTCCTGTGTGTGCAAAATGACTATCTTTAATGACTGGAACCAAGCCAACTTCTTGACCTAAACCACTAATTCCTTTTTCTTTTTTTCATAGGTTAGACAAAGTGGGTTTTTCTTCAATATTTTACAATTTTTTTTATTATATGTGCATGAGTGTTTTAGCTGCATGTAGGCCACTTGTGTGCCTGGTGTCCATAGAGGACTGAAGTGTGAGCCATCATGTTGCTCGGAGTCATACCTGCTTCCTCTGCAAGAGTTAGCCAGTGCTTTAAAACTGCTGATCCATTTCTACAGCGCCCTCTCCCCCCCCCCCCCCCCCCCCCCCCCCCCCCCCCCCGCACATTCTGGGCTGGACAGCTAGTTCGATGGTTAGGAGTATTTGTTATTCTTGCAGAGGATCTGGGTTCAGTTCCCAGCACCCATATGGTGGTTTACAACCATCTGTAACTCTAGTTCCAGATATCCGACACCCTCTTCTGGCCTCTGGTCACCAGGCAATCATGTGGTGGTGTGCAGACACCCATGCAGGGGAAACAGCCATGTACATAAAATAATCTTTAAAAATGATTAATAGATCCACATTCTAACTAATCCTATTTACGCCAGTTACTTTGGTAGCCTTGAGTAATTTGCTCAACCTTTCATTGCTTCTATTTCTTATCTATTAATTGAAAGATAGTGTCATCTGATTCATAGAGTTACACACATTCAAATGAGCTGAATTCTGTATAGTGTTGGATGCACAGAAAGTATCCATGGAATGCTGGCGCTAACAGCTAACAAACCAGGCATTTGCATGTGCCTTTAAGTGTGTGGGCACACACACACTCCAATTCCGTGCCCTCCCCCACATCTGCAGAAGCCAACCATCCTCCCAAACCCACGGAAACTCACACTCTTCTCAATCCCCCGCCCAGTTTCCAGATCCCTCTCCCTCCTTGAAACTTCTATAGCATTTATTGCCTGCACTACTTATTTTCTTCTGAATCACATACTGCCTTCCATTGTTCTCAGTGAGCCCTGCCTCCCACACCCAGCTGTTTGACAGCATGGAAGGGTCTTAATCTTTTCTACACAAGCACACCCCTCAGCACCTAACAGGGTGACACATAGTAAACACCACACAAAGACAAAGAGACCGTTGTCGTCATAGGTAAAGAGGCAAGTGAGAACTGAACTGAAATGATGGGTCCAGTTTTACCAACAACAAAAATCTTCAGACTAATGTCTAGACATTTCTTTGCTGAGATTTATCTCCTACCATTGACAAGAAGAAACAAAGTTTGCTTTTTAAGAGGGTATCTTTTAAATTATTGGACTTGTTTATTATGTGTGAGCACACTGGACACTCAAGCACCTCGCCTTGTGTTTGGAAGTCAGAGGACAATTTGCAGGATTTGGTTGGTCCCCTCTTGTGGGTCTTCGCAGGAGTCCAAAGCAGGTCTTCAGGTTTGGTAACCAGTCCCTTTACCTGCCGAGCCACCTCATGGGTTCTTAGGGAAATCTAAGTGGCACACAGTGAAAAGGGGACCTGGACTCCACAACAGGTCCAGCAGTTCAGCTGGGATGGGAGGACAGCTGGGTGCAGAGGGAAATGAGAGCAAAGGTTTTGCAGGGGCTGGGTAGGTTGTGGAAGGAATGCTGTGAGGGGCGGGGCAGGAGTGGCTTGAGGGCCAGTGTACCTGGGGTAAAGTGGAAAGCGGAAGGAGGGTCAAGGGTGGAGGGAGGTGATCGATGTGGGGGAGGGGCGAGTATTTTGTGTCCTTTGCTTGTTCTGTTGTTTTGAGACTGGGTCTGGCTTTGTAGCCCTGGCTTCCCCAGAACATAGATCAGGTTGGCCCGGAACTCACAGAAATCTGCCTGGCTCTGCCTCTGAAATGCTGAGATAAAAGTCATACAAGTCTACCTGGCTTCTTGGGGATGTTTTTGACAACAGGCTCTGAAATACCTGCTGGCCATAAAAGGGTAGATTCTATGAACTCCGCCTCCCTGTCTACTCAGGCCTGTTTGAGCCTTAAGACAGATAGTTGATCTTCTGGTCTGGTGGCATGAGTCATCTCTTTGCTTGTAGAGACAACCTCCTAAATTCTTTGGGCCAAAGCGTCTTTTCAGTTATGAGCTCAGGTGACCTCCTGGAGCCTATAGGTCACAGGAAGTGCCTTCTCTTTTGTTAAACTCTCAAGTTAAACTTGGAGTTTCAAGTCTAACTTTCTCCTCTGGCACATGGTTCTTGGAATCTCCTTCTGCCTTCTATCTACAATGAAACCTTGTTTTGTGCAGCCATTTCCTCCCAATTGAAACATTTCCCAAGAGACAGGAGAGGCTCTTCAGACGTGGGAAGCTAAGTAAATTTACAATGCTGGGAAAAACTCAAAAAGTTACAAGAGTCACAAAACCACTTCCTAAGGCTAGGTACATAGTAAACAAATTCTTTGGGAAGAAGAAGACTCAAGTGCAGTTGCCTAAGCATATAGTAAAGGGAGATCCAGGGATGTGGCTTGAGCTGAGTTGTCACCCATGCTGGGGTGGGCTTTTCACTGACACAGCTTCTTTTGAGTGGCCCATGCTTCTATAAGCAAGCTCAGAAAAACTCACTAGTTCAGTAAACTAGGCTTCAGTGGAATGATTTTTTTTGTTTTGGGTCTATCATTAATGCCCTATCTGGGATGAATTGGTACTTGCCCACTTCTCCCCCAGGAAAAGACACATAGCAAACCCACAAAAGTCAAACACAAGCAAAAAAAAAAATCCACAATTGAGATGTTCTATGAAGTGCTATCAAGAGTGCACAGTCCTGATGTTCTGAGAATTGCTATCAGGAATAATAAACTGCATGTGTATGGAGGAGGATGAAGAGAGAAGCCTTTGTCTTGGTCTGTCTGCTTACTTCTCCCTCACCCCCAGTCATTCAACACCAGTATTCATTCTCTCCATAGTCAGTGAATCTCTGTAATGTGTAGAAGAAGAATGTTCTGAACCTGTGAGCAATTCTTGACCCGAAGGAGCTTAAGATCCACCCTAGAGAACACTTATGAACAAGAAAGGTTAAGTAATAACACTGGGAGGGTGAGTAACAAAGCCAAGCAGACAAGAGAAAATTCTGCCTGACCAAATGACCTACGCAGGTATATTCTGGGGAGTGACAAAATCCCCCGGGTCCAGCTATATGATGGTACTCGCCCACAACCCCAAGAGGCAGGAGACAAAGGGAGGAGCA